GCTCTTCCCTGCATCAAAAAAGACATTACGTAGACTTCATAGCCTAGGTTGGCTAGGCAACCATGAAAGTTTGTCAGACAAACTAGCGTGTCATTTTGGCCTGGAGGAGGAAGATCCAGCATGAAGAGAGTTGAGTTGTTTGTGTGTAGGTGATAGCAGAGGCTGCATAGTTGCAGTGAGGTTTATAGTATCTATTCCTTGTAAGATTAGCTTGGAATCAGTTCGGCTAGATTGTTCTCATTAGACGTTTTATTAAACTAACCTTTAAAGACTTCTAAAGTGTAGGTCCCAATGGCCCGAGTTTTTGATTCCCCTGGATGCTTTGAGACGCTCCTTGCAATAATATGTATTACGGTTGTGATACTCCCATTGCCGTTGCTGTTGGCAAGTCTGTGAAGTATCGCAAATGAGACTGGTATCTCTGAACCTCTGGTTCCTACCTGCTGTTCCTCGCTTTCTCTTTTTCACAAGTAGTTAACAGCGTGCGGTGTAGAAGGGCAGTTCTAGCAGGGAGATCAGAGGAGCTGGGCAGCATCAGCACCTGCCTTTTAACTGTCTTCTAAATTTCTTATTGATTGTACAGAATTACTTTCTATATGCCTATACAGTGGTCTGATCTGATTGCTTTTAATTTGCAGTATTTACATTTCTGCTTCACCTGTGTTATGTTTTCACACAGGTTCGAATGCAAGCATTGAAATGCTTCTCAGTTCTAGCCTTTGAAAACCCACAGGTATCAATGACTCTTGTAAATGGTAAGCATAAAGCTATGGTTGCTGATTTGACATTCATTTTATTGACTGGTTGAATTAGAATTATCTTCTGAATTCTCTTTCATTGTTTGCAGTGTTGGTTGATGGAGAATTGTTACCACAAATTTTTGTGAAGATGTTACAAAGGGACAAGCCTATTGAAATGCAGCTCACATCAGCCAAATGGTAATTTTCATCAGGAGTTAGGATGAAATACCTTGCGGTTTCTTACTTCTTTTTTAACCGTTTCCTTTTTTTCTTGTTGTAAATTAATATAAATATGATCTAAAACCTTAAGAAGAAAGATATTATCTGCATTATCTAAATTCTTGAAGAAATGATTCTTGCCTAATAGTCTTCAGAGCATAACGTTCACTCTTTTCTATACATAAACAGGTAAAAATATTGCTGGGCAGCAATTTTTTCAGGAATGTGTACTCAACCATGTGGATTTTCATAAGCTGAACTGCAGCTTTCAGTAATATCTTGGATTTTATGACAAGTTTAACTGTGAAAAGGTTATGGGCAAATTTATGTTCTTACCGAGTCAAACAATAAAATATTATCTTGTAACATAAGATAACGTCATTGTTAAAGCAGCATCCCAAGGACTCACTTCGTGGACGTGGGCTGGGATGTGTTGAGTGTTGTGTGCACCAAGGTGAGAACAGGGAGAAGAGCTAGACTTTCTGCCCAAGATTTTGAATTAAAATAGATTATTATTTAAGCTTCTTGTGTTGGTACAGTAGAATTAATGTTGCTAAATAATATTATAGTTCAGTTAGGACTTTGCCTTTTAGTACGCACACGTTTTGGCATGGGCACATACCTAATACGTGACAGTGTGACCACGTTCCATGACAGTAACACTAGGGTTATTGATTTCATAAGCTAGGAGCTGACTCCTTTTAAGGCCTCTTTCCTTCTGTTGTGTTGATAATGGTGGAATAAATGACTTCAGATGGTTGAAGAAGGAAAAAAATAATCTGTCACTATAAACTGCTATAATCGAGCATAACTCAAGATGATGATCACTAATGTATTGATTGATTTAGACTCCTTTAATTTAATTCTCTGCATTTAAGACTCTCCTTTTAGATTTTGCTGGCTTATTTTTGATCTGGATCAATTCTCTGATTCAGTTCACCAAACAATTTCTCTGACACTTGCCAACGCAGTCCTGAGATTCTGCATTCTCAGTTTTGGTTGATTATGTGTTTCTTTGACAATCCAGAGAAGAGATGGAGAATTAGAATTAAAAATAAAAATAAAACTAGTAGAGATGCATCTTTTCTGCTGATCTCAACATATGAGGCAGTTGATAAGTCAGGAATGTTTTTTTTGCGTTCAGTAAAGAAAAACTACTTTAACTTATTTCATGCTTAAATCACAACACTGTCTGGTAGACAGGTCTAACTGGACTAAATGTCAGCTGCCAGACTGGTGCTTTCCTCCTGATTGTTCAGGCATGAAAATGAGCATCTCCTACTGTCACTCCCAAGGACTGGACAGTAACGTTCACAGAACGATCTCTGGGCTAATGATCAAGTCTCATCTGTTCACTTCTGAGAAAGAACGTAAAAAGATTTTTGATTAAGGGATTTTAGCTGGGTCTGTCATTGGTAGGTGTTTGGAACAGGATTGATGTTATGTTCTTATGGGTGAAAGCACTCTCCTTAGGCACTTGGAAAGAGCACAGGAATGCAGTGAAAGAGGATGTGGTTATGGCATATTAGCATATTTCTGCTCTTTAACTGAGCAATTATAATCGACCCTGTGTGTGCTTTTAACCTATCCAGCTGAGAGTTGAAACATGTTAGTTTGAAGTCACCTTCACGGAAATTCAGTGGAGTAGTTTTGTTTTTTAAACCTCACGACTGGGCATGCTAAACGCCAGATACAATGGCTTAGTTCAAATGCTACAAGAAAAGGTACTTGGCTGTGTTTCTGCACTGAGTGTAGAGCAGTCATCCTCCAGCCTCATTCTGCTTCCTCGCAGCTGAGCAGGTAACAGTCCAGTGAACTGTTTTCTCCTGGCTTTGACAGAGGTAACCTACTTGCATCCTAAAATATAAATATACACCACTTAACTATACCTTTATTGGTGGATGATCTACTTGCACAGGGAGTTACCCAACGCTACTAATGTACTTGTCTGCTGTGTGTATCAACATTGTAGTCTGAGACTCTGGAGTTGTCATATTCACTGTCTGTAACTTTACCACAAACGTCTAACAAAGAACAACCATAGGTTTGGTTCGGTGGTAGAGGCTCAATCAGCTGCATCGTTAGCAAGGATGTGCTCATTCCAACAGGGTTTTAAGACACACCTGTGGAAAAGTATTAGAACAAAACCACAAATCCTAGGCTAGCGCAAAGCTTGCACAGTTTCTGACTGAGCTCTGTTGTCAGCTTCCAACCCTATATCCGTCAGCTCCTTACCATATAAGTGCTGGCCTGCCCTGTGTGCAGCAAAGGACAGGCTGGTGTATACTGCACCTGTATCTTAACGAAGGTTGTTTGCTTTGTTTTGTATCAGTGAGGTTTGCTGGTGAGACCTGTTTTGACCAGTTTGCAGTGGATGTATCAATCAGCGATCCAGCAAGATGTACCGTACTATAAATTTGCTTAAAAGTGTGCATGTAGAAATTTGTTCGTGTGCCCAAATCCTAAGTCTAGTAAGCATAAATGTATTGAACAGTAGAACAGTGAAGTGCGCTTCACTGGTACAGTCATTTATTTTGCAGTGTCTTTCTGAAGTGCATAAAAAGGTGACAGGTGAATGCATATTTTATTATCCTGTTGCAGCCTTACTTCCATGTGCAGAGCTGGAGCAATACGAACAGACGATTCCTGCATCGTTCTCAAGGTGAGTAGGTAAAACAGTTTTCTGTGTAACATAGAAAACTCTCTTGTGGGTCTGTCCTTGCTTTTATTTGTATGTCCCGTATAAAAAGTTACAAAAAAGTTTGTTATACTGCAGATTTCAAATGCACCAAGTTCTCCAGATGTTTATGCAAAAATCAGATCCCTAATTTCCCTTCGTCTTTGAGCTTTTACAGCAATATGGCTCTTTTAAGAAACTTTAAGAATCGTACTAGGAAGTCTGTATCCAGGTATAAATATCCCAGCGTTTGACACACACCCCCATTTGATGTTTGTAGTTGCATCAGTCGTCATATGCAAGTAACCTGGAAACAACATTACTGGCTTGGTCTCTGTGCACAGATGGAGCACTAATTTGTCTTTCACCAGTTTATTTCACAGGATTAGTCATAATGCTTGCACAATCTATAAATGGAGTCTGTCATATGGGCAGATGATGTCTCAGCTTTCACAATATTTTTGTAGATTTATCTGGGCATTGTTGCTTCATACTTTGGCTAGGGAAATTTCTTATAAACAAAAAAGAACACTCTCACGCTGAAAGAGTGGATTTGGTTTGTATACTCTTATTTTTCTTAATTAACTTCCTCATAAAGTTAACTTCATTAAGCACCATCGGAATGTCATATTTCCCTTGATAGTCATACTTCTATAGCTGGTCAGAAAAAGCTGCTGTTGAGCAAACATATCAGCCAGAGATCAGAAAACACTAGCACTGCTTGTTTCTCCATGTTATATTGAAATATTACTGTAATACTAAAGTAAGAAAAGATGTTCGCTTCCTTCAGTAGTTACCGAAGAGGAGGCTGGCAGACTCGAAGCTTTCGTCAGTATGTTTTTTAGAAGCCATTGTTCCAGAGAGTAATACACAGTGCAGAGTTAAAAACACAGTTTAAATGCATGAAAGCTAAATTTTTTTTCTCCGTATGTGCCGCTATTCTGAAATGGGTAAGGTAACGTGTTCCTGGAATGAATCTAGCAACTGAAGGGTCTAACCAGCAGTCAGCAAAGCAGTTACTGACAGTATTTGGTGATCTGAGATCTGAAACCCAGTCATTTTTGACAGCAGTCATTTGTCTTTGGCTGTGAAGGCTTCTCTATGGTGTTCAGTTCTCATGCGAACAGACAGCCGATAAGTGTGCTGCGAGGCCATGGCACTGCAGATAGCTGCGCTTGCTGCTTAAAGCAACAAATAGTTCTCACCGCTAAAGGCTACAGAAAATACTGATGAGTGTCTTCTGATTGTGGTTTGGTGCAAACTCCTGAAGGCTCCTGCAAGCTTACACTTTAAACTGGAGAACTGTCACCAAAGTGTCTGTCTAAAACTGTCCCTAAGGCCCACTTTCAGGAAATGTTGGCAAAGGAGTAGGTTGTAGGTAAGATACTGTGGTGAGAAAATGTATTTTTTCCCCTTTCAATGATAGTAGCAGCAGAGTCTGACATATCTAAAGCTTGCATTAGTGGGATTTTGGTGTCCGTCATTCCAGATAACGTCATACAGATGAAAACCCCTGTCGGCTGAGTCAAAAGCCCCTCCCTCTAGCCTTTTTAAGCAAGGAGGTCCAGAGCGCAGTTACTCCAGCTAGTGGGGACAGCAGCATCTGTTTTGCACAGGTGCGTGGTCTGACCTTGAATGGGAAAGCCCAGCTGCACTGCTCTCCCTCGTTCTCAAACCTAACACCTTTCCAGTCCCTCTTCCCTTCCCCTACAACATAAGTACAGAGGTCACAACTTCATGCTTCCAGCCTGGCGCACGCTCTCTCTCTCTCTCACAAGCGTCGTTCTTAACTTCTCCTTCAATAATTTCTTCCCTTCAGAAATCCCCCGCTGCATGTTTAACCCCGGTGCTGTATCCTGATGAGGAAATATGGACTGCAGAACTGCTCTCCTCTGGGGGGAAGAAATAGGGGACTACTCCTGTAGGCAAAGGCAAATTACTGCTGATAGTTGACCACTAAATATCTGCATGGAGCTCCATATGTTATGCCACGTAGGCAGGACTGGTAACTGCAGTCTGTGCAAACCATTCTGAGTTGCTTTCCCTGCCAGTTTATAGACTTTTGCTCCACAGCAATAGGGAAATTTTCTTTTTTTGTGGAAACGTCTTCTGCACGAATAAACATTTTGAACTTTGGACTAAAAATTGCTGAAAAATGTGAGAGTAGGTGGAAGAGTGGGGAAAGAAGGAGGGCACAGAACCTTATCCTCTTATTCTGATTGTTCAAATAGCTTATTTAATTCCCCTTTCCCCTCTGGTGGTCATTCTAGAAGCTCATACTTTGAGAGTACCACTTTGTCTCAGTCTGTGGTAAATCCAGTCGCAAATTGTTTGACCTCCTGTGAACTACAACAAAAAATGCCTCCTTTAGTTTTCAGAAATTGCTGAAGAGAATTTTGACCCTTTGCAATCAAAACTTCTTCAGTTGCAGAAAGATGAGGCATATGTGTTCCCAAATTGGGTTTGATATATTTTTCATTGCTCAGTTTCTGAGTAGTGGGTTGCGCCTGTAAAACGTGGATAAACAAGTCTGTTGGGGTGAGGAGGGGAGCAAGAAGATGGTTGATCATTAATGGAGATTTGCTTGGAATGGAAGTTATTTCTCTGAAATCCTAATAATGGAAGTGACCATCTGTCCGGATACCATGACTCATCCCAGTGAGACTGTGTGAATTAAACGTTCCGTCTTTACAGTCTGTTTTCAGACATCCTTTCAGACTTTATCTGGTGGCCAGGAAAGGTCAGGTGTGCTTTACGACTGTTCCTCTTACACCGCTAACATAGTCCTCTACGTTAATTATGTTGTACAGCCCTTTTGGTCTAATGCAACAGTTAATGCATTCTTTGCAATTCCTGATTTTGCTTAATTTTAAACTGATGGCATTGTGCGAAGTTGAAAGGTATTGAGATTCATGTTTCTTGGGTGCTTGTAGCCCGTGACTGAGCAATATCAAGCATTTGGATTCCAAAGGAGGTTTTGCTTTCAGTGGCTTAACTTCTGTTTTGTTACCGTCTTCATCTTTCTTCATACATGCTTATGACATAGTTTGAAAGTGTATTGTGGAGTGTCTACTTAAATACTGTTGCCTTTCCTTGTTATCTCTTGGGCATTAACAGTTTTTAAGGAATAAGAATTGTTCCTTTCAAACTATTAGATATCAGAGAGAATTGGGAAATATGATACCTTTCTGGTTCAGTCTATAATGGAATTACGCTTCTATTCTTTTTTCAGTCAACCTGAATGTTGCTTGTGATGAAAGCTTATGTTCATCATAATCAATCAGCTTTTATTATTATGTTTATGCCAGACTTAGTTTTTAACATCCCTTATGCCAGCTTGGTAATTGAAACTAATGATATTGAATCATTATGGTGCAGTTCTGAATTGGTACAGACAAAGTAGCATAATAATGCAACGCCTGAAGACTTGAAGGGCTTGGAACAAGCTCGCAGAGGTCCTAGAAATCTCACTCCTGGAAAGGAGGTGATGTTTGAGGGCTGTCTAAATCTTGCAGTCCTCAGCAACTGTCTCCTCTATTTTAAAGAGTTCTGACTAATTTGCTAAGGATATAGAAGGGCCTTAGGTGTGCTTGTGTTATTAGACTTGATTTTTAACTCTTTAGGCTTAAACTCTTCATCTTGGTTATGTGATATCCTCAGTGAAAGCTATGCAAAGAGGAGGTGTTTTGGTTCATTGGATTAGCTAGAAGATTCACAATATGAACGGTAATCCTTGTGGTAACACTGAAATAAATGCAGGCAAGTCACCTAACTGTTTCTTTATCTGCGGAATGAAGAGAAGATATTTATTTAATCATTTGAACAGTTGCTGATGAATGTTGTTTCAGTCCCCAAAAACATAACTCTGAAAAAGTTTCACTGCTAGTATAATTCTGTTGAAGTTAGTGGAGTTATACAAGCAAAAGCCTTGGCTCTATTATTCCCGATGGGCTTTCATGAAAAATTTTTTAATACTTTTATGCGGTGAGGGTCGAGTGAGCAAAGTTGAGTCCCAACCATTGGCGAATTGGTCTTTATGGAGTTAAGTGTCTTTCCCTGAGTTTCACACAAAGAAATATTTTATTATTTTTAGAGTTTACAGTAGAGAAGGTATGACAAAAATGTTGCCATGTGACTGTAACCAAGGTAGGAGGTATGTCAGGGCTAAGGCAGAATAATGGACCTGGATTCCAAGTGGGCCTCACTTCTGGTTTTTCAAAACTACTTCTTAGGGCTCTTGGCAGCCAGTGTGGGTCAAAGAAGCATTGAAATTGTTCTTGGCTAGGCTGTCTTCACTCAGTCCCTGATCATAAAATGGCAGGAGGCATTGAGTACTTCCTGATGGCAACTCGGGTACTTTTGTGTTTTTTGTTTAATAAACCTGTGCAAATATCAGTTATCAAGTGGTGGGTTTTTTTAAGTTTTATTAAACTTCTGACCGTGGTCACTTTGAAACATGACTTTCATATGGACTATTTTGATCATATAAGAAGTTGGATAAAAGTAGCCCGCAATATCCTTAATATCTGAGCAGTTTCTGTCTGTAGTCTTTAAAAACATTTTTTTCTGAAGGTACCAATTTAAACATTGGTGAAAATTGCTAGGATTTCTATTTGAGTTTGTGAGCATCTTTCTGATCATAGTTGCACTAAAAAAAAGTGGAGTGTGTTTTTTTTTTTTTTAACTTTTTTTTTTTAAACTTTTTTAGACTCTGCCATGTTTGGTTCGGATGTGTAGTAAGGAGAGACTGCTCGAGGAGCGAGTAGAAGGAGCAGAAACACTGGCCTATCTGATTGAAACAGATGTGGAACTCCAGAGGATTGCCAGCATTACCGACCACCTCATTGTCATGCTTGCTGACTACTTCAAATATCCCAGCTCAGTGAGTGCAATCACTGATATCAAAAGGGTATGTTTCCTCATCTGGTTTGAAACCTCTGAAAGTGTGCAAAAACAATGGCATTAACAAACGATGACTTAAACGCCCAGGATGTTATTCTTTGTAAACCTAGCATCCAAGTTCCTCATCAGAAAGGTGACAAAGGTCCAGCAGGACTGGGTTCCTGATGCACGTAGTCCCCAGGTCTTTCCCCGCTCATTGCTCTTTCTGGAGCCTGTAATATCCAAGCTAAGATCTTTGTGTAAAGCTGGTCTTCCCATCCTGTAAGCAGGATACTGCTGTTCTTCTTTGCCAAACATAGGGAGATGGGCTCTGGCTTCTTTAACATAGCTTTACTATAGGAGTTTCATGACGTTTTCCAGAGATAGTAAGAAGGTACCAGACTGAGACACCTGTCATGTTTCTCCTTTGCAGAGATTAAAAGGCTTATCTTCAGGAACCAGTGCATTTCAGCTTCATAAGAGATAATAGCCCATGTGATGAGAGACTGATTTCAGTTCTTAGGTCAGGTTTGTGAAAAATATTAAGTTCAGAGACTGTTCTGTTTGGTTAAGCAGAAAAACATCTGGATGTCATGTAGTGTTTCATGTTACAAGTTATCCGCACTTGCAAGCGAATTGGATAAACAGAGACCAAATAGACATCAGAGACTATTACTTCTGTAGGTGTCATATGCAGAGCTTTCATCTGTGAACCTGTTTCCAGATTTGCATATGGTTTCCAAAGCGCTGCTGGATCAGTCAACTTCAGAAGCAAGATTGCTTTTGATAGTCCACATGGAAAGCATCCATTGTCTATTCCCTTCCACTGTCACAGAGTCTGCTGATTTTTTGGAAGTATCCCAAAGACCTGCCTTAAAGAGCCTTTTTTTCTTTCTTTCTTTTTTTTTTTTTCTTTGCTCCTTGGGCTAACTTGAGAGAGAGACTTGCTCCTTGGGCTTCTGTAGAATGGGATTGATTGTGCTTATACCGATGATTGAAATTCTATATAAAAATGCAGATGAAGTATAAAAAACTGTTAGTTGCAGCATAAAACTACATAAGCAGAAGGAAGTTTAGTAGCTGGTTGGGAAGTAATGGTCATTGGCTATAGCATGCAGAGCGGCATTAGGTTCCAAGCATGAGTGGAACAGCTATAAATATTATGACATTGCTTTGAGTGTTCAAAAAGTCTCTAAAAATAGTCAGCTGTGAAGCCAGGGTGCTTACCTTGTAAGAAATGCATTGAATTACACCCTATAAGGTAAAAACTAGATAAGTGAGGACGCTGCTGAATAGATTATGGTCTTCTGTTTCAAATATTTTCAACAACGACATAATACATTTTGTTTTAATATAGCTGCACCAAAGAATTACTCGTACAGCTTAACTTTTGACAGATCTTTTATTTCAGCACTTTGCTGTATAATACTTTTATTTTTCTGGCAGACGTTTTATGTAGAATTTAAATATCACTTCATTTTATGGTTCCCTTTGATACAGAGTTTTGAGGGCAGTTAGAATCCTGGAACAAGTCTGAGTGGAAGGGACATTAGGAGGTCTGTAGTCCTACTCTTCGGTTCAAAGCAGGGTCAATGCTGAGCTGAGCTGAGATTGCTCAAGGTTGCTTTTCCAGCTTGCTCTTGAAAACTGCTAGGAATGGAGATTAAACAATCAAAGTAATCTGTTCCAATATTTGATTCTCTTCTGGGTGAAAAATTTTCCTTATATCCAGTGATAATCTCTCCCCTTTCAATTTGACTGCTGTCTCTCCTTCTCCTAGCTGTGCAACTCCATGAGGAGTCTCCTCCTACGAAGACTACGTTCTTCGTAGTCTTGTTATAGGTATTGAAGGGCTGCTCTCAGGTCCCCCCTCAGCCTTCTCCTCTCTCGGCTGAATAAGCCCAGCTCCCTCAGGCTCTCCTCGCAGGGCAGGTGCTCCAGCCCTCTGACCGTCTTGATGACCCTCTACTAGACTTGTTCAAGTTCATCAACGTGCTTTTTGTGCTTGGGGGTTGGAGAGAGGGCAAACCTGGGCACAGTTTTCCAGGTGTGGTCTAATGAACGTCAGGTAAAGGAGAGTATTCGCTTGCTCTGATCTACTGGCTGCACTCCTGTTAGTTACAGCCAAGGATGCTGTTAGCCTTCTTGGCTTCCAGCCAACTGCTGGCTCATGTTTAGCTTACCCCCAGGTCCTTTTCAGCAGAGCCTGTACCATTGCAGAGGGTAGGTGCAGGTCTCTGCGTTTCTCCTTGTTGGGGTTCCTGATGGCCCATTCCTCCAGCCTGTGAAGATTGCTCTGAATGGCAGCCCTGCCCTCAAGATTACTGACTGCAAACCCTCCCCCCCCTCCCCCCCCAAATTGGTGTCATCCACAAGCTTGATCAGGGTGCACTCCATCTCCTCCAGGTCATTGTTAAAGATATTAAACAGAATAGGTCCCAGAATAAGGCACAAGGAACTCTGCTTGTAGTGCATCTGTAAGTAGCGTGAACCATTAACCGCTGCCCTCTGACCCTGATGGTCCAGCTTAGTTTTTCACCTATCCTGACCATAAAGTTTCAAACTGAGTGCAGGGATGCTGTGGGGGACCATGCTGAAAGCCTTCCTAAAGTCAAGGTAGGTGACATCTGCTGTTCTGCCCTCATCTACAGAAGAGTCATTTTATTATGGGAAGGTACTCAAGTTGGTCAGGCCTGAACTTACCCTTGATAAATCCATGCTGGCTGTTCCCAGTCACCTTCTATTTTATCAGTTCAAAAATGTTGTGGCAGCACAAAATGTGTATGATCAAATCCCTCTTGACCTCCCAGTGAACGTGCACTAGCTTACAACTATTAAGAAAATATCACTTGTAGTTTTTCTAAAGTTTATAAATTTGATATTTATGCTTTATTTAAATAGCTCGACCATGACTTGAAGCATGCTCATGAGCTGCGCCAGGCTGCTTTCAAGCTCTATGCCTCCCTTGGAGCAAATGATGAAGATATCCGGAAAAAGGTGAGCCTGTGAAAAGCATTAGCAGTCATGCAAAGACACAGCTGAAAGCTGTGCTGAAGGGCAGTGCCAGAGTTTGGACGGTTGTGTTGTGTGCCCCCCCCCCCCCCCCCCCCCGGCCTTTTTCTTCACTGTGGTATAAATTAAGTTGAAATGACAAAGCTTTCTTTCAGTTATGTTCATATAGACTTTTGCATTGCAATTCTTGTATGGGATCTAAAAGAAAATTAACGTAACAAAATACATAAGATTGAAGTTTATGTATAAATCTTCACAGTGATGATTGAGCTAGGTTATTGCAATGTATTGTGTTTTTAACATGTTTTTTCTGCACATAACTGTGCAGCGATATTGTTGTGGTGCGTGAGTCTTAACATTTCTGAAGCCTGTGTTCTGAGACACGGAATATACCTATGTTGTCATGTATCCTTCCATAAACCAAACCTTTTCTTGAAAATAAACCCTGGAAACTGTAATCATATTGACAAAGAGAATCATAGTTTGCTCCATGATTCTGAAGTGACTGTGGGGCTTGACTTGCGCTGTAGGAACAAATCAGCGATTGAGCTGAAGGAGAACAAATTCTACTCAAACAGCGCAGGAGAGGGTCTGCGTGGATGGTTGGTGCTCTCGTGTAGTTAAGAACTTGACCTCTGTGAGAAGTGGAGCGAAATTAATGATCAGAAACATTATTTTAAAAGAAGCGTGGAGTTGCTGTATCAAACAAATAGCAGGATCGGGAGTCAGGAGAACTTTTTGAGTTTACTTGCTGGTTAAAGGGGAAAAACAGAAGGAAGAAAGATATCAACAGAAAGGAGGCAGGAAAACATGACACAGAAAAGACGACTAGCAGGAGGATTTATCAGTGGGGAATGATTCAGGATCTCCCAAATTCAAATCCATAAATTTATCTTTTGCTGCAGAATGAACTTCTTTAGTTAATAATAGGGCCACCCTTACTTCTATATCCAATTACTACTAAAAGGAGGAGTAAGGGCTAGCAGAAATTCAGAATAACAGTGACTCCTAACTAAAGCATATTTCTTTCACCAAGTGACGGTGTGTATTTGGGGGGGGGGGGTTTCATTTATTACGGAAAAGCCATCTTTCACCCTGATATTAACTGCCTTTTATTCTAGTCTTAAATGCTGGGGCTGGCCATGTCTAAATGTGGAAGATGAACTGCTGTGTGTTTTTTCCAGATGGTTTCACAGCATGCCTCCAATCTGTATTGTATATACTGTGTGCACTTGAACATGCTGTCTTTTATTTTGGTATGGCATTAAGGGTAAAGCATATACATAACTGTCGTCTTGTCTGATGATTAATAAAACAATTTTAAAAGCAGTAGTTGAGCAAAGCGTGTAGATGTTGTTTTCTAAATGATATACGGTTACACACTTCATTCCACTCAGTCTGGGAAGATAACGCAGCTTGATGGAGTTTTTTTCATAGGGTTTTTTTTATATGCACCGTTTAAAATGTTACAGGCAAAAAACCCAACAGCTCATAAATGCCTATACTGTTTTATTCTTATAACGTTAATTCCTTTTTGCTCCAGATCATTGAGACTGAAAATATGATGGACCGTATTGTTAATGGCTTGTCTGAATCTAGTATCAAGGTGCGATTAGCTGCAGTCAGGTAGGAGGCTTTTCTGATGTGTACAAATAGTTCTGTCATGCTGAAGTCTGATGCTGCACTTGATAGAACTTCTGCTAATCTTTCAAAAGCTAAAACAAATTTGAAGCCTTTTCCACTGTTGGAAAATGTATTGGGGAAAAAAATATCTTGGACTAGTAGAATGTTCTCCTCTTGCTATTTACAGGCTATTAATTATCAAATTATAACCTGTTTCTGTATGTGTAGAAGCAATGTGTATGTTATAGAAGCATATAAGTGTATGTATGTGTGTGTGTATATACACATACATATACGTATATTTTACAGTGATGGCTTCTTTTCCATTATAGATGTTTGCACAGTTTGTCCCGTTCTGTACAGCAGCTCAGGACAAGTTTTCAGGATCATGCTGTATGGAAACCTTTAATGAAGGTAAGTAAAGAAACGTCAAGTTTCAGTTTCTAAGGTGTTCCGGTCAGTTAAAATAGTAACAGCAAGGGTATGAAGTCTGTTCAGTTTGCATATCTTTCGGTAGAATCATAATAGAAATTACCTAGAAATCAAAACTTCACGACCTTTTCTTAAGAGTCATAAATGAACAAAACCAAGCAGTATGAAGAACGCTGTGGTCCGTTCTTGGTGGACATTAGGGGGACTATGTCTCCTCCTTTACTTTTTAGCTCAAATTAGGTGGCATGGTTCAGACTTCGACCCTAAGCCCTATGAGGGAATTTATATTTACGTTTATTTCTGTAGTCCTCCACTTTCTAAATCTCATTGCAGATATTATAACTGAAACGAAAGACTTTTTAAAAGACACATTTTTATAGAATGCAGTTATCCAGAGCAAAATTAAATGGGATCACAACGTATAAATATATAGCATCTCATGTCTTGTGATATGACTGTCACTAAGTGCAGATAAATGAACCACTGTCTCAGTTTCAATGTCTTTGAGGCCTTAAAAATGGGGAGCAGGCAGAGTGTGGGAGGAGTCTGGCCCCAGAGGAAGGGGCCAGACTCTTTTCCGTGGTGCCCAGTGATAGGACAAGAGGCAACAAGCACAATCTGAAACACAGGAAGTTCCCTCTGAACATGAGGAAAGACTTTGTTACTGTAAGGGTGACTGAGCACTGGGACAGGTTGTCCAGAGAGGTTGTGGAATCTCCTTTGCTGGAGATACTCAAAAGCCATCTGGACACGGTCCTGGGCAATGTGCTCTAGAGGACCCTGCTTGAGCAGCGGGGTTGGACTGGATGATCTCCAGAGGTCCCTTCCAACCGCAGCTGTTCTGTGATTCTGCAAGTCTGACAGCAAGAAACCTACAAGCTTAGGCGATATAGATGTCCATAAGAATCAGCAAAAGAATCACCTGAAATGAGCCCAGCTCCCTCTTCAGAAATGAAGTAGCCAGACCGGAGGAAGCCTCGTCAACAAAGATGAGGAGGTGAACCTGGTGACGAGGCACAGTAATGTGAGTTGAGTGTCCAGAGCTTCACTCCAGACCCTGGAGAGAGTAAAGGTTCACGGGTTGTGAGTGAGTCATAAGCAGACAGTAAAGTTGAGCATTTTCTGAGAACTTACTTCCAAGCAGTGCATGGCTGTGGGGCCTGCAGAGATGCCGAAGTCGCAAAAAGTTGGTCGGAACAGACTCTCTTTCACTGGATTGATTGGTAATATAATCCTCAGGGGCCGAGGGGGCAGAATCTTTTAAGATTCCCATCTTAAAAGAATGGATTTCTCTGATGTAACAGCCAGGGAATACAAGTTATTGAGCACTCCTGATGCAGTGACTGATTTGGTAGGCTCAGTTATCTAGGAGATTTAGGATGGGAAAAGGGAAGCTAAACCCAACTGAGCAGAAAGTTGGAAGAGAGCTAAACCTATTCTAAAATCTGTGCGACAGTGTATCCAACGTGTCCAATAGCTGCCAGGCTTCATTTTGCACTGGGGAATTCTGTTCTCTCACTTGAAGTGAAAGCGGAGAAGAGGTCCGCTGTTCAACAGTTGTCAGCTCTTCAGTGTTGGTCTGACAGTGAGAGATTATTTGGACAAAGATATTGTATATGCTTTCTAGATCTGATATCTTTCCAGAAGGTGGACTGTATCCCAAAAAGCAATTCAGTATTACCAATGAACCTCAGAAAAACGGGAAATCATTACCAGAAAAGGGAAAAATAAAGCCTTCAGATATTTCTAGTGGTCCAGATTTTTTAATACAAGAAAGATGTCTGCTGGACATGCTTCTCTGACATTATATTCAGGCCTGAATTCCACTATTTTGCTTATATTCTAATTAGCAGAAGTCATGGGCTACAGAAAATTTCTGATTCACTAGTGTCCCTGTGCTCTCTGGCCACCTTTTTGGCTGCAGGCCAAGGAACTTTCTCAGCTATTCATGTTTGTGTAAAGCAGTGGCCATGGAGTACGGGCCCTCTCTTTCTACAGTTTCGCAATAGAAATGATGGGGAAATTATCTTCTGTCGGCATATACAATATACTTACAGCATGCTAAGCATTGATACTTGAACTGGGAGCGTGAGTTGTGCTATTAATCCATGGATGTCTAATTTATTAGTCTTACTGGGAGGTCAAGGTGGGGGGGGGGATTTGATCACCCAAGTTTTGTACTATCACTATAGTGTAATAATTCTATGATCCAGGACTCCTGATCTTCACCTGAAGGGGCTTGTAGAGAATGGTTTGAACGTTTTAAGAGTTTGTGAAAGGACAAACATCAAGCAGTCCTGTCATTTCTGTGGTTTACATTTCTAACTGTTTTGAAGAAACATAGCTAGTATCATAGGAGAACCATGTGATGAAGTTAATGAAGATTGTCAGAGACTTCTACATAAATACAACTTTGGCGGTTGTTCATTGCAATTTTATTAAATAAGCTGTAATCAGAAAGTTGTGTATTCATGCCAAAGCACCTGGAATTATCTTAAGAGAAAAATAAAAGTGATATTTAATAAAGAGAAGACAATTTTCAGTCTAGGTTAATACTGACTACATTTAGATATCCTTTCTCTCTCGTCTAGCACGTGCGTTTTTGTAAGCACTGAAGAAGAATGTTTAAATCTCCAGGACTTACATGACCATGCTTTTGCGCAACCCTCTGTAAATGCTATAGTTGTTAGATGACAGCTAACAAAAAGAGAAGGTGGTACAGAACAACCCCTCCTTTCCACCTTTCCTGGCTGGAGGAGTGCTTGCATCCTCCATGCCTATTTCCTTGCTGAGCTTTTCAGAGTGTGCAAGGCAGATGTGGTCTCTTTCAGGACAGCATGGATTGTTCTCGCCTGGGATGCCAGGCACAGAGAAGAGGGTGTAACTTGGTCAGCAAGGCTGCTTGCTTCCCTGAATCAACAATCGGGGGAAACTTGCTGCCGTGTGCTTTGAACAAGGTACAAAAGTATTGAGGGGGCTCCTCATGGAGTCGGCCTCTTTCCTGAAGAGCACATCACAAGAGCTGTGCTGCAATAAGCAGCCTGTTCTATATTGTCAGAACGGCCATTGAGCTGATTTACAATTGCCAGCACATCCATGCTTTGCGTTACAGGGCTCTGTTCCCACAGATTTCTTTTGTTAAGCCTGACCTGAAAGTTCTTAAACTTGGTTTTTGTGAAATAACTGCATTGCTGCAGCTTATCGTGAATTCTGTACCATCACATTGAATTGAGTAAGTACTGTCTGGATCTACCTTGCTAGCATCAGAACAACTCCGAATGTACAGAGCATCAAGAACAGACGTAATTACAAGTATGTCGTTTCGAAACGGTCCCTTCTTAATCCTACTAGCTAACAGGGATTCCTCGCTCTTCCCTTTGTCACTGCAGGTTTTACAGAACGCTCCAAATGAGATCCTAGTAGTAGCATCTTCCACACTATGCAATCTTCTTCTGGAATTCTCTCCAAGCAAAGAGGTCAGTATTTTGTCTGTTATCTTCTTCTTACTTTTGGATAAAAGCTGCATTATGCAAATACTTCAGGAAGCATAAAGGTAACTTAATTAGTAGCCACTCCTTGGGAAGCATTATAGCTGTAACGTTTGGCAGAATGTAATCACTTGATAGTCTATAAATTTAAAAAAAAAAAAAAAACTATTTACAGTGCTGTGAGAGTAAGATGTAGTCAAATAGTTAAATGTAGTTTCTAAAATTTTTTTAAAAAGAAATGCAGACATTGCATTTATACTTGTAAAACATGATTATTATATCTAAAAGACTCAGAAACAACAAGAAAACAGACTGGTCATTGTAGGCAATATGATCTGTTACCTTACAGAATTACTGCTATAATCTTGAAAATGCTGGCATAGCTCAAGCTCAAGCTCTTTTCCTGTATTCTTTTTTTTAAATCATTCTTGGCTGACTGATGTAGGATGGCTGTCCTTGAGCCCTTCGATATACTTCTGTTTCATACAGTTCATACATACGTATCAGTACTTTATATAAATAGAATAATTCTCTCAGTCTTAAATCCTTCTAAATTACAGAAAATGTTTGCAAGAGCAAGTATATGGTATAAGAGGGCTCATACGGGGCAGTTTGTGCGGCTCTGTTTCGATCATTTGACCTTACTACTTTTAGTCATGTCTGGGGTGGCAAATTAACTGAAATAAAATCAGAGAGTTCATTGGCCCATACACTTTCTTATTCAGCCACAGCCAGTGTAGTGTCTTCACTTTAAGTTGGATTGAAATACTGCATTTTCTATCAGGACACATCTTGCACAAAAATACCGTTGCCAAAACAAAATAACGCTTGTGAAAAATGAAGAGCTATTTGAAACGTTAGATTTGAAAACAATAGACAGTCTGATTTTTTTTAATTTGATGCACTGTATTTTGATTCTTCGTTGTATTTTGAAAATTGTATCAAAAATGCCAGTCTTGTTAAAACAACCAACCAAAACAAAACAAGCCCCCTGCCCCGCTTTTAGCCAAGCTGAACAGCTCTATATTCCCTGCCAAAAAAAAAAAAAAAAAGTCTCTAGCTGAATACAAAACAATTTTGAAATGGACTCTCTCTGTTGCCTCTGCGGAGAAGTCCCTAGGAGTCGGCCCGCTCCCTGGTACCCTGAGAAATCACAGTTCCCTGGCGGCTTATTGCAGTGCCCAAGCTCCTGGGGCCGGGTGAGCTTTGGCACAAGCTCTTCCCCAGTTCTGGTACAGCCTCCCTGCTGTTCGGTGAGACAGACCTGTTCCTACAGAGCACAGTCCCTTCCGCGCAATTCTGTTTTCTGATAAAAATGGGATCTTGGGGGGGCAGAGGGGAGCAGAACTACCCAAAAGCTCAGATATGTTAAATTATTCACAGCTGCTAAAGTAGAACCTTCAGGAAGAAAGAAATACCTCATGTATTAGAGCAGCCTATAGCATCAGCTACATCCTTCTAGCGCATGAGCTCGTCTGGTCTTAAAGCTAGTAACCTTAAAATTCAGTCCAGGCTGAAAGCAGTTCCAAATTGAACTTGCATTACATTAATCAATTAGTTTGAAAGAAAAAGTGCGTGTATTGGTACTTTTCCTGTCACTTATTGAAGTGATATTAGAAGGTTTTACATGTCAAGGGCAATCTTAAATTTTCTTTATTGCGCTAAAAGGCGACACACTTTTGTGCCAAAGTTTTCCTGTTGCATTTTAGTTTGGTCTCATTAGCAAATAAGATTAAATGTAAAGAACAACATTACATAGCTTTCATTGTCCATAACCTCTTTTGTAAAGATCGCGTGTCCTACTTGATCCCAAACAAAAATTGGTTGCTCAAAGGAAGATGGTGTTTTCAGAGAGGAGTCTCAAACTGAAAGTTGTTGGGGAAAACATTTGCTTGTATGTCTATGGCAGACGCATGTATAGTATCAGCAGTATGTGTGTATTCCTATGTGTGTATATATGTATACACACGTACGCAGAGGCACACAAGAATAATGTCACGTTGACCTGAGATTTTCTTCATAAGAACCTGCCTTTAAGTGCTCGTGAAAATAGGGTAAGGCTTGGACGGTTCTTCTGAGTGGACTAGACATCTTGTAAATACGAGAATAAGACGTAAGCACCACTTTTAATGTATTATATTTGTATTGTATTGTCATATTATATTTGTATATATATCTAATTATTCTGTGCAGTATTTTAAAGATTTTTTTTCCCCTGTTGGTTGTAGCCTATTTTAGAATCGGGAGCCATAGAACTTCTATGTAGTTTAACACAGAGTGAAAATCTTGCCTTGCGAGTGAACGGCATTTGGGCTTTAATGGTAAGTAAAACACTGGTGAAATCCTATTTGCAGTTGCACTCCTTAAAGAGAAGGAGTTTGCAAATGTAGCTTTAAGAAATTGTCAATTGTTATGAGTAACACAGATAAAATCTGGCTTGCCTTTCCACTTAACCACAGGAGAAAAAGGATCAACCTGGAGCATTTTATCACTTAGTTGATAAAAATTGAGAGGGGGAGAGAAAAGAAGCCTCAATTCGCATATCAATTGTGGTTGCTCTGATCGCTTGGGAAACAGTTAAGCAATGTCACTAGCATGGCTGGGGACTCTAAAAACAGATAATAATCAGGTCAGTCGCAAGACTGTGAGGAAAGTTAAACTACTGCATAGCAGTTCCTCATAGATTGTATTGTTTGCAGGATTAATTTAGCAAGGCTATATGCTTGTAGGTAGTAGTAGTCAGTCTGCTAAGAGAACAAAAAACCAAGTTTAAGGTTAAAAATTGAGCAAAAGTTTTCTGTCTTTCAGAATATGGCTTTTCAAGCAGAACAGAAGATCAAATCTGATATCTTACGAGGTCTGAGTACAGAGCAGTTATTCCAGTTACTTTCTGATTCAGATGTAAATGTTCTGATGAAAACTTTGGGACTGCTCAGGAACCTCCTCTCTACTCGCCCAGTAAGTAGAGCTGCAAACAGACTTTTTTTCGGAAGGCTGATCAAGCATGCAGACGGTACACTGGAAATACAAACTGATTGTTACACTTTCTAGTAGGACAAAGGTTTTGGCTGAGAATGCAACTTATTTTTCCATTTGAGATTGCTGTTTGATATATTGCCAAAACTGAGGCCTCTGCTATATGCTTTTATCCAGGTATCTGTAATGAAACGTACAAGTTGTTGTAAGAAAAAGTTTAAAAGAATTCTGCGTTGAAACATGGTAATTATTTTCACACAAAAATAGAGCTAGGAGTTATGTTTGGTGTTCAGTTCCATTGCGTTTTGGAAAATATTTTTTGCTGAAAGATAATGGGCTTTCTGTGAAACTTGTCAAGGACACTGAATAAGAGGGTTTCACTTTTGAGTCAGCCTGTAGAAAGGTGCATGTCTTGAGGATACCTGTATTTCTTAACATCTGAAATACTTGAGTTCTTCTCCAACTATATAGAGAGTATTGGCTTTCTGAATTTGACTTTGAGATTGTGTGCTTACAAAATGCATACGTTCATTTTACCTAGTGAAATAAAATCGTTTAAAAACGTAAGCCCATGAATTGCTTTTAACAGGGAGAAAGAGCTTAAGATAACTGGTGAAGGAAGAACAAGGGGTAATCCCCTGTGAAGAACAGGGAAAAGACGATGAAACACTTGGCAGCTGGATTTGTGTGTGGGTGCGTGTGTGTTGTGGGGGGAACACAAAGCCTCTACAGTGCATATATCACATATTGTGCTTCTACCATAAAAAGGTCACCGCAAAAAATCTTCCGATTCTTATACACATTGAATCTCAATAAGCTTCCTAGAAAATTAGCTCTGTCTTAGGGCAAAAAAATATTTTAACAACCAGTCATGTAAATTCACCGTGAGCTCTTACAGCCGTCTCATATCACTAAGGTGCTTCTCAGCTGAAGCTTTTCCCCAGTTTCACCTACTTTTAGTACATTGCAGAGCCAGAACCAGCCATTTTAATTCTATACTCCAAACTTACTCCAGAATAACTTACTCCAAATTTACTCCAGCAGCTTTTGAATGAAGTCTCATTGCTAGCAATTTAGGAGAAATCTCTTTTGAAGAAACTCTAGCATCTTAAATAATTGTAGAGCTTGCCGTGTGTTGGTAATCTCCCCTGGTGGCTGTTTACTGTCACTCTTGAGTTTTGACATCAGTTTATGCTGTAGACCTTGTTTCCCATTTTTATCTGTTGTTCCTCATTATCAAGTATATTCTGGTGTAGGCGTTTATAGTCCATGATCAAATGACCTCTTGCCTGCAAGTGTCTTACCTTGAGAGAGGTTTCCTAGACTACAAGTAATTTATACGACTTCTCTCTCTGAACTCTCTCTGACTTTTGAAGTGTGGATGTCAGACCTGTGGTTACAGTGTTCCAGTAAGAGTCACGAAAGTTCCAAATGATAAGAGACCTCACTCTTCTTACCCATCTCCGATATCCTCCTGTTAACAGAGGAGGAGAGAAAGTGGTTCTAAGTGCAGCATCGTACTGAAAGCCTGTGTCCACAGCCTTCAGTGTCTACGGGATCCAGTCTTCACCCTGTGGCCTCCACGCGAATGGGAAACCAGTGTCTCTCTTACAGGCTTTAGACAAGTTAAAAGCAAGGCCTGTGATGCTCTCTCGAACAAGACCAGGCTTCAGATGAAGGGGAATAATACAAAGAGTTTCAGCAGTGGTGGATTTGTGGGTTTGGGAGACCTCTCTAGAGGCTAGGGTCTTTGTGCAGTGTTGCTATTCTTTATTTGCAGTAATTCAATTAGGAATGCTGCTTCTTTGTCTGGAAAATTACACTGACTTTTTCATCATTGTTTTGGCAGCACATAGACCATATAATGAGCACTCACGGGAAGCAAATCATGCAAGCAGTGACCCTCATTTTGGAAGGGGAGCACAATATAGAAGTCAAAGAGCAGGTACCTTTTTTGTTTCATGTTGTCATGGCAGAATAAAGCAATAGCTGAGAGTGCTTACTCTTCTCAACGTGTCAGCTTTGTTTAGGATTATATTGTGCTGTGAATATTTTACTAAGAGATCTGTCAGATTAACAACTCTAGTACCTACAGGAATGCTCCATTTTCTAAGCCTACGGACTATTACAAACATGTTTGAACTGAATTCAAAATGTTTTCAAATGTATGTGTGGCAAAGATAAAGACGCTTTACAGGACAGCAGAATAATTGAATCTCAGGCTATGGGAAGGCAGAAAGGGGACAGCGGGAATAAGAGAACAGGAAGAAGCTAGTATTTCACACTGGGAGAAGCTTCGTGATTATTTGTTGTCATGGCTGCCACAGGAGCAGTCAGTAATGAAGAATACTAAGAATATCATCATCACTTTCCTTGCTGGTAGAAGTACGTGTTGATTACCTGCACTGGCGACTGTTCTGCTGGGAGATATGGTATCTCACCTGTTCTTGGGAGCCAGTGGTGATTAGAGGAGGGGAGGCAGTAGCAGGGAAAAAGAGCATGTTGGGCTAGCCCAGGAAAAGGTGATAAGGGTCATGTGCTGAACAATTACAGCTTTAAGAAAAGGTAGGGAAAAGGAAAAATGAGATGGCCACTAGGGAAAGCATCTCTGTCTTTGTGATAGCGTTAGGGGGTCAGGATATGGATATGCTTGCTGGAGGGATGCTGCAGCAGAAGAGGGTAGATGGACAGTCCCCTCAGAGTGATGGGTTAGATCTGGTTGATGAGCTGGTGCGACAGGGGAGGCAAGGTTTCTCGGAGAGCAATGTTTGTTCCTCACGCAGGGTCCGCGGTGAGGAAGAACAGGGGCAGCAAGAAGATGTGGAAGGTGCCAGAGCATTGACGTTGCTTCGGAGCAGATTGGCAAACTGGTGGCAAAGCAGCATGACAAATGGCTGTAGCGATATAGTTAAATCCTGATGGGTCTGTATCTCTCTTCAGCGAAGAATGGGCTGAAGGCAAACAAGCTTTGAGCAGAATGGTGTGTGGGAGGGAAGAGATAGAATAGATAGGTAGAACAGAAGTCTAGTGACACCATGATTCTGAAACAGCTGAGGATAACCAGCTGTCTCTTGGTAAACCACCGGTCACTGGAATGGTCCTCATTACAATAATAGCTTATTTAGATCTCCAAGCCTGCTAAGAAGTCGTCTGGAGAAGAATCAATGTACCTGGGAAGTACTCTCAGAAAGGGCTGGAGAACAGAGCTTTTAAGATTTGGAGCCTTCATGTACAGTGTACTTTCTTCTTACCTATGAGGAGGTGAACAGGTTGTTTTTCATTTGAGAATCAGATCATGCATCCAGTACTGTATCTATACACAAGAGCCTGTACTTCTAGCAGGACAATGCTTTTAGCTGTCACATCAGTATGTAATCAGCAACTTGGAAGTAATAAATCTCTGCGCCTGCTAATATGAGTGCTGTGCAGCTTAGACACAGGGAACATGCAGCTGCTGATCCTTCTCCAGTGTCCTCCTGTAGTCCTCCCTGCGTGTCCAGAAAAGACAGATGAGTCCTTCCACAGCTAGTTGGGAAAGAATTCTTCGGGCATCTCCCTGTGCTTCCTGAGAACTAGGAGAGTTGCCTCTGCAACTCTTGAAGCCACATACATGTAGTGCCAACAGGGGCTTAGTTGCTTCAAGGTTATTTTGTAGGATGGCTTCTCTAACTTGCAAGAAATAACCAGATGTAGTTGAGTAATTTCAGTTACCTCTGCAAGTAAGATGTGTGATTAGACTTGTGGAAAAAATGTTATATCTCTGTCAGATCAGCAGATGGGCCTCAGTCTCTTCCTTTCCTGACTTGACGTAGGTGGATAGGCTTTTTTTCTAGCTGCTGATACTGAATAGACTGCTTTATTTTTCCAGTGTATTTAACCTTGTCTATATGCTGCATGTTTCCATGAAAGACTTCAGACTTTACACATTGACATGAATTAATGTTGCTTTTATTTTAAAATGGCAATGACTTTTTTTTTGAGCATTGGCCCCAGTTGTAAGCAAGCTACAAACTCTAGATTACTGTTATTAAAACTAATTAAAGAAATTGTTTGTCAGAAGCTCAAAGCTGTCAGGAAAAGTGTGTAATTCATGGAATGTGATCTGTAGCCAAATAACTAACAGTGTTTCTCTCTTTCAGACATTATGTATACTTGCCAATATAGCAGATGGAACGACAGCAAAAGAATTAATTATGACCAATGATGACATCCTGCAGAAAATCAAATACTACATGGTATGGGGAATTTCTCTTAAAGGTCTTATTTTGGTCATTTGTAGAAATGAAAGAGGTTTCTCTAGCATATTTTATGTAAATTATTATTCAGAATCATGCACTTAAACATAAGTGGATGCACAGGAGTTAAGAAAGCACGCATTGCAGTTCTGTATGGCGGTGGTATGGTGAGGTTGAGGATCTGCTTAAAAGGTTACTTTGCATAAGAATTGTACTGTGAATTAAGCAATGCATGTGACAGTCCTACTTGGAAAAAGTTTCATGCTTTCCCTTAGGAAAGGGACTTTTTTTGTAGACCTTTTACTAAATGTTTGGAAGAAATTGAACATTGTACTCAAGTGCCTTATATTATGCTATTGTCTGTGAGAGAAGCTGTAGATAAGAACTGGTCCTGACTTCACTGCCTCACTTATTACAGGATGAATGCCAAAATGTAAGTCTGAGAAAATTCTGAATCTTCTCTTCTAAATCTGAGTACTATTTTTCTATATTTAGAGTCATTCAAATGCTAAACTTCAGCTTGCTGCCATGTTCTGCATATCTAATCTCATATGGAATGAAGAAGAAGGTAAGGAAGCCTCATTATTAACATATAGACAAGTTATTACCCAGTCAAAAGACTAATGTTACGGAGTAATCAATATTCGCAGCGCACAGCACGTTGGGATCCAAAGCATAAAGGGAGACTTCCATATAGGCATAAGATGGAACAAGCGATTGTGGTCAGGAGGAGACTGTTCTGGGGCGGGAAGGGGAGGCGTGGGAAGACTGCGTCTGTAAAGCAGAGAAGTTGATGAGTCGCACAGTGGGAGTTTCCACCTGCGACGTACCTGCAAAACGTGAAAAAATTGGAGTAAAAGAAAATCCTAATAAGAGGGCTTCCAAGTCTAAGGAGGTTTTGGAAACATCATTGGAGGGAACAGGTTCATCAGAAAGGCAAAAATGGCAAAGGGTTAGAAAGTGAAATTATTGCAAAGAAAGTTTCCCCAGCACGGAGGGCTTGAATGGGTTGGACAGGAGGAGTTTGAATCGAGTGGAAGGACTTGTGGGTTGAGCTGGAAGGAACAGGGAAGGCATTCAGTAAGAAAAGCTGTGGGCTGGAACAATGGAAGCTAACTGGGAGGGAGCTGAAGGATGCTGCAGCACAGAAAAGTGTGTGTGTGCATGTAGCAGAGCCGAGTGGTGGAGAGGGCAGATAGAGGCAGCAGTGTGGAGCTGGAAGGAGTGACATGGGAAGGGCTGGGAGGTGGTGTGCTTTGAGGAACAGTGGGACTGGGACACGAGCTTTTTTGTATGGATTGTTTACAAGTCTTCAGATTAACCGTGCTGCCCTTCAGCAAAGAGAAGAGTGTCTGTAGGTTTTTTTTTTTTCCCCCCCCTCCTCCTACTGTGTAACTTATTTCAGATCCCAAAACTGCATTCAGCCTATGACACTTGGTTGTGCTCTTGATGCTTTCCTGTTCACATGCGTTTTATGGGGAGTGCTACAAGTCAGACTCGAGCACAAACCTCCAGTTAAATGTTCTCTGCCTCCAAATCAAAGAGAGATGAGAACAAAGCAAGTAAAGTTAAGCTTCTTTCTTTGGGATAAAACGTGTTTAGAATTCTGCCTTTTAAATTTTCTGTTCTTGAAACATGTGCCCACTAAAATCCAAAAAAAGAAACTCAAGGTGCCTTGTGAAATAGCCATAAGTGAGGGAGTTCTGCAGTGTTGTTTTTTTAGCCAAACCGTGTTCCATACCCCTCTTCAGGGTAGTTTTTGCTGCCACTCCTTTCTTCTGCTCTCAATGCATTTATTTTTGGTGGTATTCCCAACAATATGATTTATTTTTGTAGGTTCACAAGAACGACAAGATAAACTACGAGACATGGGAATAGTAGATATTCTACATAAATTGAGTCAGTCATCAGATCCAAATCTGTGTGACAAGTGAGTATTAAAAAAAAAAAAAAGCCACAAACAAGATTAGAGGGAATTCTTTGCTCATAACAGTGCATCTTTTTAATAACCTTTTGGTTATTTAAATATCTCCATCTGAGAAAAACCGTCTACAATTGCACTGAGTACTACTGTGTGCGTAAGGAAGTTGTAATGTACGCTTATTTGAGTAACAGGTCCTATGTATTGCCTAGGAATAACAATTTATACTTAAGTTCTCAATGCTAAAAATTAACAACAGTGGAGACCCTGTTTAATCTTTCTAATTCATAGTGTTACATGACTTTATAGTTGTTCCAGTCCTCTGGAACTTTTTACCCCTGCTGCTTTTAACCTCACTAGTTTGTCCTCTCTCTCTAGCTGGAATTGTGTGTAGAGCCTTGTACATACAAAGCTGTTGATGATTTAAAAAACAACAACAATTAACCAGTTGCTGCTTTATTGCAGGGCGAAGACAGCACTCCAGCAGTATCTTGCATGATCAAAGACTAATTGAATCTATGGACACCCCTCATGTCTACTTAAGGAAAAGCAGGAGATACTCCTGACTCCTTATATTTGCACAAGTCACCTTGGGCTGCATTTTTCTCAGGTGCAGGGAGCTGCTTTGCAGAAACAGTTTAAATGATCAGGTCTCCAGTGCACTTGAGAATTTTCTTGAGGTAGTTTCTTTACTCAGAGGACTCTTGGGGGGTTGTTTTGTTTTTTTTGGGTTTTTTTTTTTTTCCTGAGCTACCTGGACTTTTGAATAGAACAATCAGTCATCATTTTCCTTTGGGCCTACAATTTTCTGCTTTTGCTGCAGCCTGCGTGTGTGGATGTGTGTGTGCTTGGGTGTGTGCGCGTGCTTGGGTGTATGTGTGTGGGTGTGATACCTCAATTTTGTTTTTCCTTTTTTTTGTGTGAAAATCTTTTTCTACAGGTTTTCAAGGGTTAACCATTGTTTGCTGTACGAATACTTCAATGAATTATATACAGTTTGAATGAAATGTTATTTAAAAAGAAAACCAAACTGTTGTATCCCATAAAGTTTATTTTGAATTTTGAACAGATGAATGTTTTTAAGTAAAATATATGCATTTCTGAACTTCAGCTTAACTTACATTATACTTCATTTTTAAAGAGGAAAGTAGAGGGAGACAGTAGACCCAAAATTATAAGCAGCTTATTCTGTACTGTGAGACGATCCAAGAGTTAGCATTTTACTGCCAAACAAGGTCAGCTGGTACTGATGACCTACGCAACTCCCTAGAAAGGGTCAGCTGGATTGTTTTGGGCTTCTGTACGTTTTTGAGAGGAAAGGGTCGTACTTGAGTTAGTATGACTGTTGCCTTTTCTGGAAAGGAACAAATGGCTGCGATATCAGCAAGCATATGCCTATTGCTTTAGAAGCCAAGAACTTACTCAGATAATTGCTGAGGGATTAGCTTATTTCACTGACAAGTATTTGTTAATCACTTAATACCAATAGAGCAAACAGTACGTTGCAAAATGTATGCTTTCAAGAGACCAGAAGGACCTGACAAGCAGTGGTTAAGGGACTGCTTTAGTTTTGCACCTTTTACCTGCAGGTAATAGTTAAGCAGCTCGCAGAATATTTCCATGAAAGATCAGCTGGCTACATTAGGTCGGGGGAGGGATGAAAAATTGTTAGGATTTCTTCTCAGTAATGTCGCTACCAACTTTGTGTGCGTGTCTGTGCGCATACACGCACTTGCGTGGATTTGGACGCCTGGATAACAGAGATGGGATTTTACTGTATTCAGAGGCCTGGGTTGTCCACACGTTGTCCCTAGCCCAAGTTCCTGAGATTGTGCCTGTAATTGTGGAGGAAAAAGTGTGGCTACAGATGAAGACGACTGTGTAAGGTTAGGCTGGAAAGTAAGATGCCAGGGGCTTCAGGAGTCAAATATGCATAGAAACAAGAGAGAGCAGCAGGGAGCTCTCCTTCATGCAGTTCAGGGTTCTTGCTTTCTTTGTGTGTCGTCTCTCTGATTTCAGTTTAGAGCATAGTTTTAACAGTCGGACTCTCCAAACACTATATTTACTAGCACTAACAGGCACACTAAAGACTGCAGCCGCTGTCTTAAAACCAAATCTTCCTTTTGTTACATTGAGCTTCAGGAAGGCTGCAGCAAGAAGAGAGGTCTGTAACTTTGCTAACCAATTTTGATAAGTATCTTAATCTTTTATTTCTAATCGGAGGGTCAAATTGTGATAGCCTTACTTTATTTCAAAGGTAACTCCTTGTGTCAGAAAATGTGACCACAGTTTGGCCTGGAATTTGAATGTTCTGTGTATCAGATAACTGCTATCACTTGGTTGCAAAGGAGAATATATACATTAAATGTAACTGCTTCCAATCTTGAAAGACAAATAAAAGTGAGCACCTGACACTTTTTCCCCAGGCATTGCAGTAAGCGACTGGCCATTTTTTAATGTCCTTCTGCAAGTTTTTTCAGGATGGATTTTGGGGGCTGAACAAAAAGGAAAGTAAAAATATGTGAGGACTTGATAAATATCAGTACCTCAGAAGTGAAGTCTTTCTTATAGAATTCAATCAACTGTACTTTTGCTTGAATTGAGGAAAGGCTTCTGAGGCAAGTATCATAAAAATAAAACTGCCTGTAGTCTGCATCTGGCTTCTAAATTTGTATTCCT